TGTTTGTGCAGCAAGGTGCACCCTCCTGCATTTCTGCCATTGCTACAAAAAAGAGCTTCCCCCAAATAGCTGTCCCTCTCCCCTTCAAGCAGAGCCTCAGAATTATCTCAGTTGGAAAGGATCTGAACAAGAAGCTCAGCCTACTGAGCAGTAGACCCACTCAACCCAGCCCCACTCAGCTCACTTGGCCTCTGGCCCCCACAGCATGAAGCATAGCCACCCAATACCTACAGATCCTTAAAATTACATGATTGTTATTTTAAGTCACTAAGTCTAGGAGTGGCTTATTACACAGCATCCTTCTGACAACAGCTAACTGATACAAGGGTTCCTACAAGATGGGTCCCAACCCAGGAGCTATTGAGTCTAAGTTTATTATAGGGTCCTGACAGAAACTTCCCCCAAAAATGAATGAATATCTAGTGTGTGGGCCTTTTGATATAATGGCAAAGATTGTAGAGCAGAGTCATCAGTGAACCTGAGCTTGAATCCTGGCTCTGAAACTTCATACCTAGGTTATACTGAAGCTGTACTTGGGCAGATTTCTTGACTACCCAAATTACTGTTTTCTCATTTATAAGAAAAAAATAATAATTATAACTTACCTCTCACAGTGTTTTGAGATTTTAAAAAAGAAAGGAAAGTGTGCCAGGGTGGCTCAGTCAGTTGTTGATTGTTTTCCTTTGGCTCAGGTCACGATCTCATGGTCCTGGGATTGAGCCCTGCATTGGGCTTCCTGCTTGGTAGAGAGTCTGCTTCTCCCTCTCCCTCTGCCCCTGCCCCCCTACTCATGCTCTCTCTTAATTAATTAATTAATTTTAAAAATTAAAAAAGGAAAAGAAATAATAGAAAAATTAATTTAAAAATAAATTAATTAAAAAAAGAAAGTATATGTAAAGTACTTGACAAATACAGGAAGGCTCTAATACACAGAAACCACTGTTACTATTATTATCAGTAGTGTTATTATTCCTCCTTCTCTTTGTGAAATCACTTTTGCTTATATTTGCATGTCCATCCCATTCTCAGGCATGTGATAGAAAGTCGACAAAAATGTTTTTGATGATCAAATGATGCAGAGATTAATCACACATATATTTAGATATATAATTCTAGGGGCGCCTGGGTGGCTCCATCAGTTAAACATCTGCCTTCAGGTCAGGACATGACCTCAGGGTCCTGGGATTGAGGACCAGCAGGGAGCCTGCTTCTCCCTCTCTCTCTGCCTCTGCCCTGGACTCATGTGCTCTCTCTCTCTCACTCTTCTCTTAAACAAGTAAGTAAGTAAGTAAGTAAGTAAATAATATATAATTCTGCATATTGTTGAAATAAAAATCCATCTTTATTAGAAAAGAAAACATGGTCCCTTTCCAAGAGGAGTTGATTCCCTGTTTACACCCCATGCCCCTGGCTTCCCTTTTCATACCCTCAGTACTTCTACACAAACACATACCTTCCTGTTTGGAGCAGTAAATACAATGGTAAGATGGTTTGGCTTTGGACAGGAGCCCAGCCGGCCTGCTGCATGCTTCCACAAGGGGGCTGTAATTTCTGCTCTGGGCCCAGGACGTGGACGTTGGCCCCGGCTTCCATCTGCCCAGCAGGTAGGGACAGCCAAGGTCAGCATCAGATCCCCAATGGCCAGTGCTAGGCTTCCCTCCAACCTAAACAGGAATGACAGGCAAAGTGTAGGAACATACGGTGGTACAAATAAACACACTGGAGGAGTGGATTGTGGATCGAATAATTTGTGAAACCACTTCTAAGACTGCTGTCACATTACACTTCATTCAGGAAAAGTGCTAAACCTTCAATTGGGAGAGAAAAGCTCGATTTTGGGAAAAAGGTACTGAAATCTGTGTTGTTTTCCTCTGTGGGATCTCAGTTGGGACGATCAGCTTTAGAGAGATTAAGACACTCTGGCAGTGGTTCTCTAAACTAGAGCTGCATTAGAATCACCTGGAGGTTCATGAGACATCTGTAACAGCCTCTCATGCGGAAGGTGAAGACAAAGAAAACCAATGAAAAGCCATAGGCACCCCGCCCAGCCAGATTTTTGCCAGATGATCAAACTACAGCCCTACTCGGTTGTCCCCACTGTGGTTAGCAATCTTCCCAAGACCATGCTCACTGACTTCCCCAGGTGGTATCTTCTCGGAGAATCTGGATTCAGACTCTGTCCCAGACCACTCAACGCATCAACTCCAGGATCTTTCATATATTAGTGCCTTTACTCCTATTTCCTGACAGAGCCAGGTTTGTGTTTGTTTTTTCGAAAGAAAACTATATCGTTTAGGGATACTTTCAGGGATGGCAAAACTATCAAAGGCAAGGGAGTGGAGAACATAAAGATTAGGATAGTAGTCTCCCGATGAGGATAGCAATCAGGTGGGCAGAGGAGAGGCTCCTAATGTTCAACATGTTAACCTGTGTGGTGGGCACACAGGTGTTTATTAGTGTTTTTAACTGCATATGTGTTTAACTGCATGTATGTGCATGTATGTTTCATAAGATCTTTTGTGTGTGTGATATATTTCACAATTAAGCCAAAAAAAATGTTCGAACAAGTAAATAAAATAATTATGTGGGGAATTGTTAGGCACACAGAATCTCAGCTGCACTACAATTCTGATTCGGGTGACCTGGTCAGGACCTGGGAATCCACATTTTTAGAAAATGCTGCTGTAGGTGGTGAAAGAACATATCTTGAGACATCTGCCTGTCTTGAGAGCATGACTGGCTTTGGCTTCAGACTAACTGGAGTCAAAGCCCCAACTCCACTGACTCTTGGCTATATGACATCAAACAAGTTTTCTTCATCTGTAAAATGAGGATGATAAACTTGGCACAGTGCCCAGGCTCTAACTAAGCAGGCAACACAGGTTGGCTATAATAATAACTATTATTATTATTTCCTTTAGTGTAAGACTGTCTCCCTCAGGGGTGCCTGGGTGGCTCAGTCGCTTAAGTGTCTACCTTCAACTCACATCATGATCTCGGGGTCCTGGGATGGAGACCCGCATCTGCATCCTCTGTAACTGGGCTCCCTGCTCAGCAGGGAGCCAGCTGCTCTGTCTCCCTCTGTCCCTCCCCCCAGCTCATACTCTCAATCTCTCTCTCTCTCAAATAAATAAAATCTTTTTTTAAAAAAGTGTCTTCCTCAGACCTGCTAATCTCTATTAATCTGTCCCTATATAGATAAATTTCCCAGATGATTTTCACTTAGGAAAGAGAGATTATGATTGTTTAAAAAAAATTTCCATAACCCTTAAACGTTTCATATCCTTTACCCAAATGTGAGAATCTGAGCAAAGAAACCTAAACAGAGGAATTATATATATCATAGCAAAATATTTGAGACAAAGAGCCAAAAACAGAGGTAAGGTCACAACTGTGAACTGTCTTCATAGAATGGAATATTAAGAAATCACTAAATATAAATTCAAAAAAAATGTGTAGAAGTTATTTTGGAAGTGAAAAAAAAATAGCCAGAGAACATATCCACCATACAATCAAAATTACGTATAGAAAAAGTAAACCAGGGATCCCTGGGTGGTGCAGCGGTTTAGCGCCTGCCTTTGGCCCAGGGCGTGATCCTGGAGACCCGGGATCGAATCCCACATCGGGCTCCCGGTGCATGGAGCCTGCTTCTCCCTCTGCCTGTGTCTCTGCCTCTCTCTCTCTCTCTCTCTCTCTCTCTCTCTCTGTGTGTGTGTGTGTGTGTGACTATCATAAATAAATAAAAATTAAAAAGAAAAGAAAAAGTAAACCACAGTTTACTTGCCAGGATCTGCAAGTACAGGTTGTCATTGGGGTGAGAGATGGATAATTCTTCTTCCTTTTTTTTCCTTTTCTACATTTTCCAAATGTTCCACAATGGAAATTTTTTTAAAACCCCTCAATTTTTAAAAGTGTATTCTTTGTTATGTTTTCATATCAAAACTACATTAAGAGCTCTGCCTCAATTAGGATCCACAGATGTGTACGGCCAGGATCGATCTGCTCCAGGTCTCACCATGCAGCCTTACGCTCTTCCCGCTTCCCCCACACCCAGCCTCCAAGCTTCATAATCCAGATGGTCAAACACTTTAGATGACTACTCAGAGCGTGACCTGGAAACCGTCAACATCAGCATCACTGAACCATGTGTCAGAAATGCAGACTCTCAGGCCTCTTCCCTAAAAAGGGAATTAGAATCTGCATTTTAACAAGATCCCCAGGGGCAAGGTTCTTAGAGAAATAACAAAATAAGAGACACTCTAATGGTTTCGTTTGGATTTGAAGCTCACTTGGACCACTAACTTAAAACAAAGGGACCTCAGTCCCAATATCGGCTTCGAGGCCTCAAGCGTGTTTCTCTGCCGCTCTGTTGCCTTGGTTTTCCTCATCTGGGAAATGGGGATGATAAACTCAGCCTGGTGCCTAGCAAGTGCAGAGATGGAGGCTGCAGTGCAAGTAAGCCATTACTGATGGGTCTAAATAAATGCTTCTCGTCAGGCTTGTGACAATAGGCCCGGCACTCCGGGAGAGCTGGGGGTTCCCGGCCTCGGTACCCGGCCCACAGCGCGTGTGTAATAAACAACTGGCAAGAACGCAGGCGACATTTATTAATTCCTGACTTGGATTGTTCCATGCTTTTTTTTTTTTTAGGATGTAACACAATCAAAGCTGCCAGTTTTCTCCCTTCCATCATGCAAAACCGGGCCAGCTCCCACCTCCGCCAGGCCGTACGCTTACGCTTACTGTCAATTCCTAGGGCTACAGCGGTGCACGGCTCTACCTCGCAGCCCACTACCGCCGCACCTGACTGTGACTCCGCCCACCGCCCCAGGCCACGCCCACGGCCACGCCCCTCCCGCTCGGGCCCGCCCCTCCAGGCCCCGCCCCTCCAGGCCCGTCGGCCTCCGCGCCGCCCCTCGCCCCTCGCCCCTCCGCCCCGCCCCGCCCCGCCCCGCCGCGCCCCGCCCCGCCCCGCCCCGCCCCGCCCGCGCCCGCGCCGTCCGGCTCGGCGTGCGTGCGGCCTCGCGGGGCCCTCCGCTGGCGTTGGCGCCCGGGCAGGCTGCGGAGCGAGGGCGGCCCCAGGCCTGGGTCGCGGAGCCGCGTTCCCACCCACGCGAGGTAGGGCCGGAGGGGCGGGGGGCGGGGGCCTGCGGGCTGCGGCGTGCGGGCCCCGGGCTAACGGTCGCGGCCGCGTCCCTGCCGAGGGCAGCCGCCTGCTCCTGCGCCCGGCGCGGCGGGCGGGGGGCTCCGGGGGCGGGCTCCGGGGGCGGGCGGCTGGGAGCACCGGGCGCGCGCGCGTCCCGGGAGACAGCGCCCCCCACGCCCACCCCACCCCCACCCCCACCCCCACCCCGCGCGCCGCGCCGCGCCGCGCCCCGCCCCGCCCGGCAGGCTCCCCCGGAAGGCGGCGCGCGGGCCCCGCGAGCCCGGGGGTACCCCGCCTGTTCCTGTCCCAGTTGGCAAGCGGCGTTGGACGCGATGGAAGGGGAGAGGCGGCCGGCGCCGCACGGGGGCCTGTTTGCCGACGGGCACCTGGTCCTGTGGACGCTGTGCTCGGTGCTGCTGCCGGTGTTCATCACCTTCTGGTGCAGCCTCCAGCGGTCGCGTCGCCAGCTGCACCGCAGGGACATCTTTCGCAAGAGCCAGCACGGCTGGCGCGACACGGACCTGTTCAGCCAGCCCACCTACTGCTGCGTGTGCGCGCAGCACATTCTGCTGGGCGCTTTCTGCGACTGCTGCGGGCTGCGCGTGGACGAGGCCTGCCTCAAGAAGGCCGACAAGCGCTTCCCGTGCAAGGAGATCATGCTCAAGGGGGACGCCCGGGCCCTGGACGCCATGCCCCACCACTGGATCCGAGGCAACGTGCCCCTGTGCAGCTACTGCGTGGTCTGCAGGCAGCAGTGCGGCAGCCAGCCCAAGCTCTGCGATTACAGGTGAGGCCTTTGTGGGTCCTCGCGGTCCCGGAATGCGTGGTAAGCGGCAGGGTCCCCTGGAGCGGGCGCAGAGGCCTACCTTGACCTCTGCCAGCGGCCTCCACTGCCCACTGAAAGGAAACAAGTTCATAAACGTCCCTGGTACCGGACAAACAGGGCAGCTTTGCAGTGGTCATCGGCCTGGATGATCCCTCTCCATCCCCTGCTCCTCCGCCCGCGCGTGCCCTTTTAGGTAATGACACTTGGGCCTTAATTCGGATCCAGAGATCTCCAAGTGCTGCATACTTCATAGGCACTGTGCGTAGTATTTTAGCGTTTATTCCTATTGATTATCTCCATTTTAAGTAAGGAACAACGAAGTATGGACACAATTCTTCGCTTTTCTCCGGACTCGTGAAACTGATCCTCCTCCCGGTGGTATTATAAATGGGCAGTGAAAACCAGTGTCCTTCCATGGCAGCCCTGGAAGCATCTTTTTCGAATATAGACATCCCCACTGTAGCGAAAGGTTAACACTTAGAGGGGCTCTCCTTTTGTCACGTGGCCTGGCAGGACATGTAGCATCTCAGACAAAAGTCTTTGGTTAAGCCAAAAATATTTTAGCAGCTTCTAAATACACACACGACAACACATTAATGTTCTTAAATACTATCTGAAAAATAGGGGAAGATGCCCTTTGCTCTTGTTAGAGATTGGTAATGAGGGAGGCTGGTTCCGTAGATCATTTGGTCTAACTCATTTTACAGTTAAGAGAATTATACGCCGTGGTAAAATAGACCTGCTCTCTGAGCTTTGTAACCCCCAGGATAGGGTTAGGCATACCGACATGCCTAGCCTTGGCTCAGCCTTACGTCTGGACATCTTCATTGTTACGAGTTTTACTTCTGACAAGTGGAAAGGGCTCTAAACCTATTTAGAAACTAAAATAGAAACCTGACACTGGATGGCAAGTTACTTTTTTGTTTTTGTCTTTATTTTGTATTTTACTTCAAAATCTTTTTTTTTTTTTTCTTTAACTTAGCATGAGCACTGTTAGGTCAACACCTATTTTTATACTTCAGATTTAGACTTAAGAAAAATTTTCAAAAATATGTTTTAAACAACTACAGAGTTTTATAACCATTGATTTTATTTGTTATCTTTCAAATGTAGAAGTCCTTTTGGCATCAGTGAGAACTAGGTTATAACCCAGCGTCTTTAAGTAAACTTTGTAATTCTCTCTGTAAGTCACCTTTAGCTTCAAAAGCTGGAATTAGTTGGAAAGAAGACATGACTTGCATCTTATTTCCTTCCCTTCTTTGTGTCTGTGCAGAATTAGATAAAAATGGTTTCTTTAAATATCTTAACTGTGCTTTAGATACTGCTTAACAAATAAGCCTAGTGCTCTGATCCTCCACCTGAATAATCTTCGAAACGCATTATCAGATCCAGTCCCTGCTCTACTTAAACCCTTTCAGTTGCTCTGGTCACTTACCCTGATGAACTTTCAGTGTAAACTTCAGGTGCTTACCACGGTACCCAGAGTCTCATGTGCTCTCTGGACCCCACCTGCATGACAAAACGCCGAGCTGGTTGTGGCTTCCTTAAAATATCAGACTCTTTCATTCTGCCCTTCCCTTTCTCAAGGCTGTCCTCCCCTGGGTAGCTTCTGGTTATCCTTAGGGACTCATCTCATGCCCTTTCCTCCAAGAACCCTTACCTGATCTTCAATTCACCCCCAAGCCCACATCTTTTCTTCTCGGTGATGACATTCTATCCTATATTTCAGTAGTTCTCAAAGTAGGTTCCCCAGACCAGCAGCATTAGCATCATTTGGAAACTTGGTAGAAATGCAAATTCTAGTGTTGCCAGATTAAGCAAACAACACATTTGCAGTATTTGAGACAGACTTATACCTGTTATACCTGATAAAAACTGTTTATCTGAAATTGAAATTTAACCAAACATCTTCTAGTTTCCTGGCAACGCTCATCTACCCCAGACCCACTGAATCAGGAACTTGGCCTGGAGACCAGCAATCTTTGCTCTAGCAGGCCCTGCAGATAATTCTAAAGTTGAGGAGACACTGCTGTATTTATGTACGTTTCATAACATCAGCCTCTGTCCTTAGTGTTGTATCCTCCCCTTTGTGCGCAATGAATGTGAGGATAGATCTTTTCCTCACGAGGTTCTTCTTACCAGTTACTGAGCCATCTGTTCCCAGCATGCTAGAACCCCTCACTAATGGTAGAAACGATCTCTGTATAATTTAGGAAGTGTTTATTATTCCCATGGGGAAAAGAGCACAATGTCCTGAATGTCCCGCAGTGTGCTGATTAATTTTAGCCAATAATCTTATGCAGGATTACTGTCTGCTATGACCTTCTGTAGGAATGAGATATTTCGGAAAAATAAACAAAATAAATATCTATTTAGAACCTTTAAACACAAGCCAGACTGTCCATCTCTGGATTTTATCCAACCATGTGGCAAGTGCCCCTTCCATGTCTATATCACAATCTAAATAAGTACAAGACTTAAGAGAACTACATAGACTCAGGTAATAAGTGATTTTATCACACTGCACTTAAGCTCTGCAGAATGAGTGACAAAGGCCCTTTAATTTACACTCATTAGGTCATTATTTAATTTTCACATAGCAAATACCCATTTTGTGCCAGGCACTGTGCCAGATTCTACTTTCCCTGTAGGCTTTTTCTCTTGTGAGTATATTCTCACATCCTCCCCAACCACTATAATGTGTGTCTGCACCTGGTGTCTCACACGCCTTCCTGGTCTTCCTTTTCCTTCCTACTTCTCTTCTGACTAAAATAGGGAATTATAAGTATTCATTACATTTTTTTAAATAAACCTTTGTTCCCCATAGTATGCCATCTCTTATTAGGAAAACTTAAGGTACCTTTTTATTTATAAGACCTTTTCATTACATCCTGTCACTGCATGCCCCCTTCCTCCCCCGCACGTGTGGGCTCTGGCGCACAAACATGCTGATTAATGAAACAAAGCTTCTGACTTTTAGCAGGTAATTACATCGACTACTTCAGTCTTTTTTTTTTTTTTTTTTTTTTAATTTTTTATTTTTATTTTATGATAGTCACAGAGAGAGAGAGAGAGGCAGAGACACAGGCAGAGGGAGAAGCAGGCTCCGTGCACCGGGAGCCCGACATGGGATTTGATCCCGGGTCTCCAGGATCGCGCCCTGGGCCAAAGGCAAGCGCCAAACCGCTGCGCCACCCAGGGATCCCGACTACTTCAGTCTTGGCTTTGATCTTAAACTTTATGTTTCTGTGTTCTCTTGGTATGTATTTATTCATTTCATTCATTATCTGAAACAGTGAAAAGGTACCAGATCACCTTCTAGAGCAGAGGCAGACAAACTTTCTATAAAGAGCCAAAACTAAGTATTTTAGGCTTTGCAGACCATTACTTAACTCACTGTCCATCTTAATACAAAACCAGCCCTAGACAGTACATAAACGAAAGGGTGTTGCTGAAGTATTGGAAGGTAAAAATCTCATAAAGTCTCTAATACTTTTAAATGATTCAGCAGTATATGAGTTCACATCAAAAGAGGTAAAGCAGTTGTGGGAAAAAAGATTAAGGATCAGAGTGAAAGGTTGGCTTAAGGTCATTTTGCTATCCTTTCGACTTCTATGTAGGTTTAAAATTTTTCAAAGTAAAAAGATAAGCAGTTAGTCAATGACATGATTGTTGAAACTAAAACATCAAGACATTAGTAGTGTCTTATTCTCCCATCAGGTTTGAAATCTAGATTAAACCCTAATAACAAAATAAAGAAACCAGTCCCAATTTTGACTATGGTAGTTGTAAGGAAAAGTAATGTTTCATAGGTTGCAAGCATTTGGCTCTAGCTTTACAGAGCCAAGACTGATAATAGCCATCATTTTAGTTAAAAGAATCTGTTGTGAAATTTATGAGAATGTAGTAAATGATAAAGGTGTCCCAAATCAGATGGGATAGAAAAGATTATGAATTGTGCTGGGACAGGTACTCTTTGGGGGGGAAAAAGAAGCGAGATTTTCGGGACGCCTGAGTGGCTCGGCGGTTGAGCGCCTGCCTTTGGCTCAGGGCGTGATCCCAGAGTCCCGGGATCAAGTCCCACTTCGGGCTCCCTGCATGGAGCCTGCTTCTCCCCTGCCTGTGTCTCTGCCTCTCTCTCTCTCTGTCTCTCATGAATAAATAGATGAAATCTTTAAAAAAAAAAAAAAAGATTTTCGTATCATACTATATACCAAAATAAACACTAGATATATTAAAGCAGGGGCTTTTAGTTCACAGATGAATAAGGTTCCAAGAAACCTAGACACTTCCATGAGTTTCTCAGTGGAACCTCTAGCCCCAGAAGCAGCAGGGTAATTAAAGACATAGATAGGTATGGGGGCAACTGGGTGGCTCAGTCAGTTAAGCATCTGCCTTTGGCTCAGGTCATGATCTCCAGGTCCTGGAAACAAGCCCCTACATTGAGCCCGCCCCATCAGGCTCCCTGCTCAGTGGGGAGTCTGCTTCTCCCTCTGCCCCTCCCCCTGCTTGTGGGTACGCTTTCTCTGTCTCTCTTTCTCTCTCTCTCTCAAAATCTTTTTTTAAAAAGATGTAAGTATGAAAACTGAGTGGGTGGGATGGGGGTTTAGCGGAATAACGATAGGCAAGTGTCTTTTTGGAAATGGTGAAGGACTTCAGGGCATAAAAACATTTAAATAAACCACAGAGGGAAAGAGATCTATCAAGAAATAATTTTTTTTTAAAGATTTCATTTATTTATTCATGAGAGACAGAGAGAGAGAGAGGCAGAGACTGAGGCAGAGGGAGAAGCATCTCCACGCAGGGAGCCCAACATGGGACTCGATCCTAAACTGCTGAGCCACCCAGGCTGCCCAAGAGATAAATTTTTTTTTAAAGATTTTATTTATTTATTCATGAGATGCAGAGAGAGAGAGAGAGAGGCAGAGGCACAGCAAAGGGAAGAGCAGGCTCCATGTAGGGAGCCCAATACAAAACTCGATCCCTGGACTCCAGGATTACGTCCTGGGCTGAAGGCAGACGCTTAACCGCTGAGCCACCCAGTCGACCCTCAAAAGTAAATTTAAAATAAAACTGAAAAAAAAAAAAAAAAACCTGAAACAAATTTGCAATAAATGTGACAGAAAGGGTTGATATCCTGCATAAGTAAAAAGTACATGCAATTATTAAAAGTTAGTAAAAAATGAATATGGGTCATGAGTCAATTCACAGAAGCAGGCAGAAAAATATACAGCTTCACTAGTGATCAAAGACCCCCCCAAATTAAAACAAAAATCTTCTATCCAATTATCAAAGAAAACATTTAAAACACTAATGTGCAGGATTAGCAAGTGTTAGATATGATGAACATCTCCATGCACTGAAAACAAGGACACTAGACAGACATATCAGTGACTATATTGTATATTTAAAATGAATGTACATATTATGTGTCAACTATACTCAAAAAAATTATGAAAGAATTATTTAAAAAAATCTTAGGAAAATGCATGCCCTTTGAGCAGGAAATTGACTTCTAGGATTCCAGAGAAATAATCTCATTTCTGTTTATGGTAGTTCATCATGTTGTTTATACTTAGAAAAATAAATTATCTAAATGTCTCGTACAGGAGACTATAGAGTAAAAAAAAGTGAATGTTCTTCTTACCCCTGAGTCCCACTTTTCTTACTGGAGGAAACCTATGTGAAATAATTCAGGGGTACTCTTTCAGGTTATTTTCAATAACAATATCCTCTTTTTTAAAGTTAATAGCACAGTAGATGGAGTTGGTATACTTTGCAGTACACATGTATTGTGGTTTCTCAGGCTTTGTTTAAAAGCAAGTATAAACAAAACATATGCAGGTTATTTTATAGTTTTCTAACAGATAATGCAGATAACACTTCTTTCAGCAGCAAATAGGACTCCTGAGTAAATAGCAGTAATCACTTGGCAAATCTGAACATCCACCGGAAAAAAACAACCTTAAAATAGAAGTCCAAAAGGGTTGACCTTGGGCAAAAACCTTTTATCCTCTTTTTTTTTTAATTATTCATTTAATTATAACCATTATTTTCTGTCAGCCTGCTTTTGTCTATACAGTCAGCTCTGCCTTATTTGTGAGTGGATTAAATTCTTAGCAGATTAATAATAGAAACCCGGGACCTTTTCCAACACTATTCTGTTTATTTCACACACACGCCCATCCAGAGGTAAATCTGAATATAAATGTCTTCTGCCCATATTTCAAATGCAATATATAGACTAGTTTTGTATTAACCGCCAACAAGAAATTGACTATCTTACTCTACTTACTAGACTGTTCAAGGATGTCGTAACTTAGGAAGTTTTCAAACTGGACCCAGGCCAGTGGAGCATTTCATTAAGCAGCAAGGACTTTTAGGCCTCACAAACATATTTCAACCAAAACACAAATAATTGGGCAGCCCCGGTGGCACAGCGGTTTAGCGCCGCCTGCAGCCTGGGGTGTGATCCTGGAGACCCTGGATTGAGTCCCATGTCGGGCTCCCGGTGCATGGAGCCTGCTTCTCCCTCTGCCTGTGCCTCTGCCCCTTTCTCTCTCTCTCTGTCTCTATGAGTAAATAAATAAAATCTTTAAAAAAAACACACACACAAATAATTCAGATTCAGAACCATTGTCATAGACCCAGTTTTTTTGTTTATGTGGATTATGTCTACTGGCATTTCCATGTTTCACATTAAAACTGAGAAATTGTTTAAACATTCCTTTTTAAAGAAACATAATATTTTTATGAAAAAGAAATGAAACTTGAGAAGAGTGACACTGTTTTACTTTTTTGGTACATTTCTTTGGCTTAGAGGCCACCTACATACTCCTGTCTGCTTCTGCATTGGGTCTGCACACTCCTGAGAGAAGGAAAATGTAATAGCATCTTGGTATTACTATTAAAGTGATTTTTTTTTTTAAGTTGGCTCCACACCGGGCACGGAGACCAACATGGAGCCAGAACTCATGACCCCAAGGTCAAGACCTGAGCTGACATCAAGAGTCAGACACTTAACTGACTGAGCCACCCAGGTGCCCCTTATTATTAAAGTGATTTTAACCTCAGAGTCGTCTTGGGAGGATCTTTGGGGGCCCTGGACCACACTTTAAAAACCACTGTTAGATTACACTGCCAAGTATATTCAAACCTGATCACTCCTTTTCACTATGCAGGCAGTTACGAATCTTTTATTTAGTAGATTTTATGTTCTAAATCTTTTTTTTTTTTAATTTTTATTTATTTATGATAGTCACACAGAGAGAGAGAGAGAGAGGCAGAGACACAGGCAGAGGGAGAAGCGGGCTCCATGCACCGGGAGCCCGACGTGGGATTCGATCCCGGGTCTCCAGGATCACGCCCTGGGCCAAAGGCAGGCGCTAAACCGCTGCACCACCCAGGGATCCCGATTTTATGTTCTAATAATGATGAGATTACTATTAATTTTTTTTTACAGGAACAGTCTGTTTACACATCAGTGAAATTATGGTTTAAAATTAAGTATTGTCTTTGTTTCTTTCTTCCCACAGGTGCATTTGGTGTCAGAAAACAGTACATGACGAGTGCATGAAAAATAGCTTGAAGAATGAAAAATGTGATTTTGGAGAATTCAGAAACCTCATCATCCCCCCAAGTTATTTGACTTCTATCAATCAGATGCGTAAAGACAAAAAAACGGATTATGCAGTGGTAATTAGAGTTCATTTTTCCTTATGTAATTGATTTTCACAAGTCATTGAAGTCAGTGTGCAACAAGTACGGGGCATTGAGGGAAGAATCACTATGGTGAGCTGTAGAACCCCGCCTAGTGGTCAGGGATGTGCCACAGGGTTTGGCTCTGGAGCGCTTTCATGTTGAAAGGGAAATTGGAAATGTTCTCTTACTGGTTTCTCAATCAGTGCCTGCATCTGAATCACACGGGGAGCTTTTTGAGAATAAATTCCCAAGCCCCCCCGCCCCCCCCCCCCCGCCATCACCAGGTTTGGTTTAGTGGGTGGAAGGCAGGTCCCAGGAATCTGTATTTCTTTAGGGTCCTCAGATAACTCTGATAAACATCCAGCTTTGAAATTCTTTATTACTATCTGTGAAAAGAAAATATGGATTTTCCTCACACGTTATTCTAACCGAATTTTTTATTTGGAACTTTATGTAGGGTGCCTAAAGATAGATTTACCTTGCACATTAGGCGCTCCTTACAAATAATTTGAACATTAAAGGTGTTAACACTTTGCAGGATATATGTGTATGGAAACTGATATAAATGCATCTCTCAGTCTTTATGTAGTTCTTAAGGGATAACTTTAAAAATCTGCATTTATTTCCTACTTGAATATGCCAAAATAATTGAACTATTTTATTTTGAAATTATATTTTATGTCTTTTCCAAGTTAGGATTTTATATCTTAAATGTCATCTTTGTCAGTATTCCTGCTGAAGAAAAAGACCTTTTAAAATTTTAAAACAGTGGGACGCCTGGGTGGCTCAGTGGGTTGAACATCCAAGTCCTGGTTTTGGCTCTGGTTGTGATCTCAGGGTCCTGAGCCTGGGTTCCTCCCTCAGCATGGAGTTTGCTTGTCCCTCTCGCTCTGCCCTGGGCTTCCCCCAGCTCACACATGCTCACTTGCTCTCTAAAATATTTTTTTTTTAATTAAGGCATTATGTTTAATGTTATACATGTTTTTTTTAAATATACAGTCCCTTAATATGTCTGAATTCAATCTGAGACCCTGCAGGATGAGAAATGGTAAGTAAGGCCAGGGAGCATCTCCATTCAGGTTTACATCCACAAGGAGAAGGGAGAGGGAAGAAATGATTGGTTAAAAGATCATGAATTTCATTTGACTTTGGCCTTTGTGCAAATCTGAATTCTTAAAACTAATTTTGAGTACCCCATTTAAAAAAAAAAGTTTTTTTTAATAAAAAAAAAAAACCTTGCAAACTAAAATACATTAGAATACATCCAGAAAAGGACAAAGTAAGAGAGCAGAGAAAATCTGTCTATTCTGTGAACAGTTGAAAGAACTTAAAATGGATCACGTAGAAGACAAGGCTCATAAAAGATACAATGCTTCAGGTGTTGGAGCAGAAGTTTTGTGGAAGAACAAATAAAACTATTTCTGATTGCTCTAGAAAGCAAAATTAGAACAATAAAGAGACATTATTGAAAGATTTTTAACTCCGTTTAAGTCAAACTTCCTAATAATTTGAGTTAATAGTGGAATGGGCTACCTTGTTAGTTCCTTATTATTATTTAGGCATCACCCAGGTGACTTATCTAGAATAATGGAGAAGAGAATTAAGACATAAGTGCAAGTTAAATTATTCTCTCTGAGTTCACTTTCCATTCCTAGAATTCTTTGATTTATACATTGTATTCATTGTGCTGGGATAGTTGTTTTTCTCCCAGCAAATTTACAGCACCCATTACCAAAATGAAAATTTTATTGCTCAGTATCTTTGAGATATTAAATCCTTTTCACTTACATTAATTTTTTTTAGCTAGCCTCTAAGCTTGGAAAGCAGTGGACCCCATTAATAATCCTGGCCAACTCTCGTAGTGGAACTAACATGGGAGAAGGGCTGCTGGGAGAATTTAGGATCCTCCTAAACCCAGTCCAGGTAATGAAAGAGAAAAGCTTCTGTCTATATTAATCTTGTCACATTTAGCTTTTCATTTTCCCTAAATTGTAGTGGTGGTTAATGCTTTAAACCAGTTGTCACTCTGTTATAGGAAAAAATTATAAGAGTATCAGACCATTTGAATATATGGAGAAAGGGATGTTCTCATGGTGGGGATATAAAATGGTGCATCCACTTAAGAAAACAGCGCAGCAATTTCTTGAAAAGTTAAACAGAAATTCACCAAAACCACATAGCAATCCCATTTCCAGCAGACTGCCCAAGGGAAGTGAAAGCATAGGGGACATCCCACAAAGACTTTTAATGCAGATGTTCATAGCAGCAATATTCATAATAGCCAGAAAGTGGAAACAACCCAGCTGTCCATCAGCTGCCAAGTTGGTAAAACCAAATTTGTACCTACCCAAGGGAATATCAGTCAGCGATAAGAAGGGACAAAGTACTGATGCATACATGCTACCATGGGTGAATCTCAAAACGCACAAAGTGAGCCAAGTGCAAGGACCCATATAGTTTGGCTCCATTTATATAACCTATCCAGAAAAGCCAGGAGCACAGAGACAGAGGAGGTGCGTGGCTGCCTGAAGCCAGGCAGTGTGGGATCCTACATCCAGTGCTTGCATCCAGACACCAAGGGATCTTCTTAGAGCAGTGAAAATGTCCTGAACTGGATTCTAGTGGTGCTTGCACAACTCCATAAACTTACCAAAAATCACTTCATTGTCCACTTTCAGTGGGTTCATTTTAAATGAGAGTTTTGTTATATGTAACTTATACCTCAATTTAAAAAATAAGAATCAGGGGATCTCTGGGTGGCGCAGCGGTTTGGCGCCTGCCTTTGGCCCAGGGCGTGATCCTGGAGGCCCAGGATCGAATCCCACATCGGGCTCCCGGTGCATGGAGCCTGCTTCTCCCTCTGCCTATGTCTCTGCCTCTCTCTCTCTCTCTGTGACTATCATAAATAAATAAAAAATGCCTTTAAAAAAATTTAAAAAAAAAATAAGAATCAGGGCGCCTGGTAGCTCAGTTGGTGAAGCGTCTACCTTCAGCTCAGGTCATGATCTCAGAGTCCTGGGATCGAGTGCTGCATCAGCCTCCCCGTTCAGTGGGGAGCCTGCTTCTCCCTCTCACTGTGCCTGCTGCTCCCCGTTTGTGTACTCCTCTGAAAGGAGCTTGTCCTCACAGATGGAGAACAATGTTGGATAAAAGTAATCTTTCCTTTTCTTTCATTTCTAGGTTTTCGATGTGACTAAAACTCCCCCAATCAAAGCCCTGCAGCTCTGTACTCTTCTCCCCTATCACTCAGCCCGAGTGCTTGTTTGCGGCGGGGACGGCACAGTGGGCTGGGTCCTGGACGCAGTGGATGAGATGAAGATGAAGGTATCTGTCTTTGAGACCTGTACGCCTCCCACAGCAGCAGCTCCAAAACAAGGGTTATGGTATTCAGGCTGCCTTTCTTTCTACACTGAGGAGTGTTAGAAGACTTTACCAGTTTTGAATATAATGACTAAGCAGATTTCCTAACCTTCAGAAAAGCAACATATGGTTCAGTCTATGAGTTTTACCAAATACTGTTACCCCACAGATGGTCTGAAGAGAAGCCTCTCACCTGTATCTCTGGTTTTCTAGGGACAAGAAAAGTACATTCCACAGGTGGCGGTCCTGCCCTTGGGAACAGGCAACGATCTGTCCAACACCCTGGGCTGGGGCACGGGGTACGCAGGGGAGATCCCAGTCGCACAGGTCTTAAGAAACGTGATGGAAGCAGATGGAATTAAACTAGACAGGTGAGCAGTATTTCCCCTGAACACTGGATTTCTGGAGCTTCAGGAATATCGTTTGGTTTAAAGATGAAGACTCCTGTGGTTATCGGATGTCATTTAAATGTACAAGATGGTGTTAGTTGTCCTCATCCACAGGCACTGGGCTTCTGTTTTCTTGCTATCTACTGTGTTATTATTGGAAGGACTGGAGTCACGGAGGCTGAGGATATCCCTCAGAATTTGCATCGTCATTTAGGCGTGCTTATTTCTTCAAATCCTGTTTTCATAGAAGAACCTCATCTATAGGCATGCAGAATTGACTGGTAATAATTATAGTTAACTGGTGGTTAATTTAGTAATAATTACCTTTTTTTTTTTTTTGTAACTTTTGTTTTTTAGATGGAAAGTTCAAGTAACAAATAAAGGGTACTACAACTTAAGAAAACCCAAGGTATGTTTTTCGGGCCTCAGTAGCAGATGGTTTCAGCAGACATGGGGAAGTGCCCCTTGTACACGTGTGGCCCAGTGCCGGGATGCAGAGATGTGGTGCTTATTACCGCCAGGGACTGCTCCCAGAGCAGAAAAGAAACCCACATGTTCAGCCCTCAAGTTGAACTGCAAAGAGGGCCATGGGGGAAAACATAGGGCAGGTGCACTTCTTACCTCCTCAGCAGATCAGGCAGGAAGGACTACAAGGGAAGTGATGTGTGCAGGGTCCTTACAAGGCAAACACAATCTAGAGCAACAGAGAAAGGCACACAAGGCTTTCCAGGCAGAGGAAGTAGATCCTACAGGTTGCAGATTTTGGGTAGCAACAACTACAGAGACAGTAGCTCAGTAGCTCTGTATTTTCCAGCAGGTACTCTGGGGATGGAAAATAGCCTGGAAACTTGCACAAGGGCAAAACACTGGGACTCTCAGCAGGAAGACAGTTAAAAGATATTCTAGAGGTAGAATTGAGGGGTGATGTGGCAGCTGTTGGATATTAGGGAAAGAGAAGATAACACATTATACCATGTTTCTGGTTGTTTCAGCTGGATGTATGGAAATGACATTAACCAAGCTAAGAAAAAGAGAAAGAGTTTCAGTTTAAAGAAGAGGAAGATAAGTTAGATTTGGGGCACACCACCCTCAAGGCTGTGGCACATTGGATGGAAGTTGGAAGTGCAGGCTCCAGGCTCAGGGGCAAGAGACAGAGCTGAGATGGAGACTGAGGGCTTTGTGCAGGGTGGGAAGTAGATGAAGCAGGGACCCTGAGAGTTGCAATGAAAGTGAAAAGCACATGTGATGGGAACACAGGCGTGGAAAGCCTGGATGCAAAGTAGAGCTGTGCTAGACGAAAAGATCTGAGGTGTAGCATGTGAACCAGAAGACCAAAATGAAATTCATATAGGTTGTTATTGGCCTTTGAACTGAAGCTTTATTTCTGGAAACCTCACTGGGTAGCATCAGCTCTAAGTGAAAAGTAACTGCAGAAAGTATTAAATTTTCACAAAAAACTTAAAGACTAAGATTTACATTTTTTACATATGTCATAGACTTAGACTGAAGCATAATCTGTTGCTTACTCTTACCCTTTTGCACAGGAATTCACAATGAACAACTATTTTTCTGTTGGACCTGATGCTCTCATGGCTCTCAATTTTCATGCTCATCGTGAGAAGGCACCATCTCTGTTTTCTAGCAGAATTCTTAATAAGGTGTGTTGGATAAAATAACATTTCCTGCTTATCACTGAAGGTACAGTAAAAATCAATAGTTCGATTCTATCTCGCACTCTTTCAAGTAGATTCGGATAGAACTTATGGAATCATTTACTTGCTCTGTTTTGTGTAAGACTGTCAAATTAGATCCTTAAATGTATTTTATCAGAGTAATTTATAACTGTGACAAGCTTTCTAAAATTCACATTTTGCTTAGGTGACAACTAATGGAAGTTGGGAATGGAAAGACACATGTTGCTTATCTTATTTATGTAAATGTAAACTAAGGAAAAAAATTTTAGGCAGGAGAAAGTTTGGGTGAAGGCCTCAGTGGAAAAAACAGATTCCTATAGCCTCAAAAAACTCCAAAATGCAGATGAAGTAAGAGAAGCAGCAATTTGTTTACTATGGCTTTTAACTATGATCATCACTCTAATTTCTAGTACCATTAATTCCTTCGGTGGAGGTTTGATTTTGGAGTTTTTTTAATGACTTGATAATTAAGCAACAAGATGTGAAAATTAAATGCAAAACAGTTTTTCTCCTGGTTTTGTTTCACAGACATTTCAAATTTACAGAGTTCTTTCCTATTCATATAGTTACTAAGGCAGTGTTGCTGTTTGTATGATTAGTGATTAACATCTCAGAGCCTCCATCAACCTTCCTATATCCAAAAGTGATTATAAAATGTTCACGAGAATAATGTGTATTCCTGTTTCAGTGAATAATTCTACCTTAGGAAAAGGTAGAATTTTCTGATTTTAATATAGTATTTCTTTGTAAAATGCAGCTTTTTGGATAAACTGAGAGAAAACATCACTTAGGCGAACCTCTCCCTCTCACGTTCCCTGAAAAATGGACTAATTCAGCTCAAAAGTAATGGTGCCCATTATTCCCATGAGAATCTGGTCCATTCTAAGGAAACATGGCTCAATGGTCATGTCAGGAAACTTTGGTCTTTGTCTTGCTTTCAGAGCTTGGTAGGTTGCTTTAATATCCCTTTTTCTGTCCATTTCTCATAGGCTGTTTACTTATTCTATGGAACCAAAGACTGTTTAGTGCAAGAATGTAAAGATTTGAATAAAAAAATTGAGGTAAGTTTTTAAAGTTTTAGGTGATCTGTGGGTTGTAAACTTTTTTTTTTCTTTAAACAAAAGTGCTGAATTTTCTGTTAACATATTTCACTAACATACATGGAATACTTACTATGTGCCACGTAATTTATTAAATGCCTTATATGCATTATCCCACTAAATTGTCACCACAACCCTATAGGGCAGGTACTTTTATATTCTCATTATGCAGAGGAGAAAACTGTGTGAAATTAAGTAATTTGCCCAAATTAACACAGTGTCCATCCATATACACCCATAATCAGGATCTGAACCCAAGTTTATCCACCTCCAGTCTGTTTAACTGATACTGAACAGCTTCCCTTCATACTGGATGACAGATGTGAAGCAACCTCACACAGTGCCTGACCTCATCAGTGACTCTCAGAGGAAGTTTAAACACAAAGTTGAATTTATATTAGGTTGCGATATGTATCTTTCTTCTATACTAAAGTAAAGATGATGTACAAGCAGCAAAAGTAGAATGTTAATGAGTGCTTATTGCTGCAGTATCCCTGACATCATGATATGGCAAAGTCTTATATATATATATATTCCTTGCTTGCTTCCAGAAAGAATCTGTAATGGCTAACCATACCAACAAAGACATTAAGCCAGAAAAGCCTAGAACTAGTAAAATAAGTAAAAGGGAAAGCCAGGCAAACAGCTTGGAAAAAAGAAAAATAGGGAATGTGAGGAGCCTGATGATATGTACACTGAGGAAGAGTGTGGCGGTCAGGCTGATGCTGAGCTCACAGATTTTGCAGCCACGGCTCAGGATAGATAGCAAGATTTGCCATTAAAAAAAAAAGTTTTATCATCTACTTTATCATCTTTCCTTTATCCTGGGCTCTGATAGCATTGGTAAAGTGAAGCAAACATGATAATACTTTATTTTTATGTGTCTGATATTTTATTTATACAAAAATTATTTGTGGGGGTGCCTGGCTGGCTCTGTCAGTTAAGCATCTGCTTTAGGCTCAAGTCATAATCCTGGGGTCCTGGGATTGAGCGCCACATCTCAGCAGGGAGCCTGCTTCTCCCTTTGCTTCTGCCTGTCATTCTGCCTACTTGCGCTGTCAGATAAATAAGTAAAATATTACAAAAAAAAAAAATTTACTTGTGAAGCCACCTATAAAATGCCAAGCACTGTCTCTTAGGTACTGGAAATACAGTGATAAATCCCTCATTCTGGGCAGCCCGGGTGGCTCAATGGTTCAGCGCCTGCCTTTGGCCCAGAGCATGATCCTGGAGACCCAGGATCGAGTCCCGCCTTGGGCTCCCAACATGGAGCCTGCTTCTCCCTCTGCCTGTCTCTCTCTGTGTGTGTCTCATTAATAAATAAATAAAAATCTTTTTTAAAAAATTAGGAAATTTGACAAGTCAGAGATTAGTAAATCAATCAATCAATCCCTCATTCTCACTAAGGTTATGGTGTAGAGAGAAGGAAGATACTTAAACCACGCTGCAATACAGAATGAGGGATGACGTGATAAGGAAAGTATTTGATCTTAAAAGAATAAGAGCAGCGCATAACCCAGAGGCTGGAGAAACTGTCTAGGGAAAGGGACCATACCAAGTCTTTCTTGAAGAAGTGACAAGGTGGAATCTGAAAATTAAGTAAGAGATAGCTAAGTGAAAAAGGAGGTGAAAATTGTTCTAGGCTGGGCAACCCTCTCAGATGGGTTTTGGGAGCTTTGTGCTCTATCATTCAATAACCTTCACTCTTGCTCAGTCAACCTTTACTGCCATCCCCCTCCAAAAAAAGAAGATTGTCCTAGGCTAAGAAGAACACGTGTAGAGACCCAGAGGGAAGAAAGAACGTGGTGTCTTTGAGTGAGTTGTAGCTGGAGCATAGCTTGTGGCTGGGAGAGGGGCAAGAGCTGAGGCCAGATGACAGAGGGGCCATGGTGGCCTGTCAGAGAAGTTGGATTTTGTGCTGAGCACGAATCGGGCACTGACAGGCTATCATCGGGAATGGCATGTTTGCATTTGGTTAGTGCTCTGAGAGCGATGAAGAAGAGGAGAGACAGCTGGTGGGAGCACGTGGGGGAGGAGCTTGAGGAAGTGCCCTCCCTCACTCCCAGGTTATCACTGGGAGTGAGGGAAATGGTAGCTCCTTAGAAGTGGAGGGTGAAAGCGAAGAAGGCAAAGATGGCCCTAGCTTTGTGGCTTAGGTAGCTGGGGCCTGAAGCCTTCTCTCCTGGGAAGTAGGTAGTCGGGGCCGTAGAGAAGATGCTTCACATTAGCTCAGTGCCATGCATAGCAGTTTCAAGGGCCGCAATTGGTTGAAGTGTTTTATGGGCAGTAGGATACACAGTTCTGGCCCAGTGCTTTTCCCGGCCCAGTGAGCTAGAGTTAGCAGCCCCGAGATGGCAGTTAACGACGTGGCAGTGCCTGAGCTTCTCCTCCATAGTCTGCAGCCTGAGAAGAGTGTGGAGCCTTGGACATAGCCAACCTGAGGCAGGAGGTGGGGCTGTCAGTGTTGTCTGAGAAGGACCACCCCAGGAAGGAGAGTCTGGCTTCCAGAAGCAAAATAAGGGAGTAGATCAGGTGCCACAGCAAATCAGAAGAGGCCGGAAAAAAGATACTGAGATTTAACAAAAACTGTGCCATTTTAACCTTGGTAAAAAAAAAAAAATGAGGGATGCCCAGGTGGCTCAGCAGTTAAGTGCCTGCCTTCAGCTCAGGGCATGATCCTGGAGTGCCAGGATTGAGTCCCACATTGGGCCCCCTGCATGGAATTCTCCCTCTGCCTCTCTCTCTCTCTCTGTGTGTCTCATGAATAAATAGATAAAATCCTAAAAAAAAAAAAAAAAAAAAAAGAACGTTACCATTAATGTATTATAATAACCACTGAATAGGAAGGCAGATTCCTTGGGGGGGGGGTTGGGGGGCGGGTAGGAAGGACTCTTACATGTGCGTCTCTCACACCCTACATGTATGGAAATGGATGTGAATCCTGAGGGGATATGTCTGGAAATAGCATGCCCCATAGTAACTAACTCCTCGGATTTCTTTAAAGCTAGAACTGGATGGCGAGCGAGTAGAACTGCCTAACCTGGAAGGTATTATAGTTCTGAACATCGGATACTGGGGCGGTGGCTGCAGACTGTGGGAAGGGATGGGAGACGAGACTTACCCTCTAGCCAGGTGGGTACACTTGTGGTCACTTTTGATATGTCATGTTCCCTCGTTCTCTATAAACTGTTAATATTTTGTGTTCAAACTTTTTCATTTTTCCATACCTCATTAATACGAATATTTAATAAGTAAGTTGTCCACCTTGGTGAAAATGTTGTCCTAACATGGCTGGTTGTATTTCACAGCATCACCTAATTGGTGTTTCCTTTTTTTTTTTTTTTTTTTTTTGGTGTTTCCTTTTTCCACCCGTAGGCATGACGACGGTTTGCTGGAGGTCGTTGGAGTGTACGGGTCTTTCCACTGCGCTCAGATTCAAGTGAAACTGGCAAACCCTTTCCGAATAGGACAAGCGCACACGGTGCGGGTAGGTGGAATGTTGCTCTGTGTTTCATATGTACGTAGGCTCATGGTCTGAGTTCATTTCTAAGCCACTGCTGCGTTAGAAGATCTGCACACTATAGCTTCCCTTGAAGGGTGCTCTACAGCCTGCACTGTTGTTCAGCCTCTGCTGAAGGATTGGGTGTGAGGGGGAAGAGACAGGAAGTGTAGAAGAAACAAAGCTTTCAGTGGAAAAGAATCCCTTAAACCATTGATGACCAAAGATAAATTCAGATTAATTTTGTAAGAATGAAAGACTAAGAACTCCCTGAGAAAGGTTAAGGGGCTGTGGATGGTAGTCTTAAGGAGGACCCCCTTCTGAACTTTTGGGGACTGACTTTTGTCTAATTATCTCCCCCATACCAGTTGATTTTGAAGTGCTCGATGATGCCCATGCAGGTAGATGGGGAGCCATGGGCCCAGGGGCCCTGCACCGTCACCATAACTCACAAGACACACGCACTGATGTTGTATTTCTCGGGAGAACAGACAGATGATGACATCTCCAGTACTTCAGATCAAGAGGACATAAAGGAAACTGAGTAGGCGGATGAGGAAATGAAAGAGTAAAATCCTCACCAACAAGTAGATACGTAGTCATCAGGAAGTTAGAAATTCTCTACCAACTGTTTAGTCTTAATTTCACCAGTAGCATAATGGAGATACATTTATGTAAATAGCATTTCCCAGACAGCCAAATTTCCATTTGTTTACAGATGCCTGTTCCTTTTTCAGCAGAACATCCCATTCATAATGCACTAACTTTAAAAAGTCACAGAATGTTAATTACTTGAAGGTGAAGTGTTTCTCATGGCTTTATGTTGGAGAATGGGCCTTGCTCTGAGGCATGCACCCTCATTCCTTATTCTTGAGCACACATTTGATGGACATGTTACCCATCCAGCAAGATGTAGGTGGAAAAATCATTGCCATCTTCTTAATGTGTGACACCATAACATTTTTAAATAATTAACCTACTTTTTTGAAAGGATATGCTTAGTGTCAAACCAGCATGGTTAATGCAGGGCCTCCTCCTGCAGCTTGCCCCTGAACACTTCCTGCCTCCCAGCACTGAGTGGATCTGCAAGGATCTATTTCCAGGAAACCTAAAAGGACAAGTGTTAAAGACAATACTTAAATTTTTTGTTATAATTTTTATCTTGAGAGCATTTTCAGACCCCCAAATGTTGTTCGGTTAATCTTACTAATGAACACGTTGAACTGAAATTCAGCATCTCATTTATGACCACGTGTAGCCAGCAGACAGTCACATAGGTGAAATGGTAAAGATGAACATTCAGAGCACTTTGGATTGAAAGGTAGGGTTTCTGAGTTGGACTGTTGACCAGTTTCTCCTGAGTAAAAGACAGTATCAACAGTTCAAAAAAAATACTGCAGAAAATTTGTCATAGTAATTGTTCAAAAAAAAGTTCAGTCATGATTACTAACTTCTAAAAGTCCAGTGGTCTTGTAGTATTTTGAAGTACAGTAGTTTTTGATATCCAAAGTATTTAACAGAAATTTCCCTTGGGGAAGTGGACAGATTCCTTTGCTAAAATGTTTATATTTATTTATTTTAAAATGAGAGAGACATTTATTTATTTATTTATTTATTTTCTTCGTTGTGGTATACTTGTGGTTACTGTTTACAATACATGGCTTTATTTAATATGTTAAATTTATCACATAGTCACAATTAGAAATGTAGCCTATTGACTAAGTAATTAAAACCCATAATTTAATTCTCCTGACATATATATATTACCCAGATAATCTCATTTCCAAAAATATTACTCAATATTTTTTAAAAAGAGGGGAATGAAAGCACTGGCAAACAACTTTTGCATAACTGAAAGTTTTGTTTCATTGTTTTTATTTGACCCTCATTTGCCAAAAACTTATGGAAGGGCTAGTCTCATGGTTCACCGTTAGAGGGCGCTCTTCTGGTGTGAACCAGCCTGGTGTTTTTCTAACAAATGGCCCATTTTGTGGGCTTGGTGGTCTTTCATGACATTCATCTCTGAAAGACTAGACTGTAACTCCCAAAACAACATTAACCTTCTTTAGGGATCCATTTTGGATCTGTCATCCGTGAATTGCCATAAACTTAAATTTCATTGATCCTCAGGCTGGGGCCATGTTTTGAAGGAAAAAAGTAATGAGTAGTCAGTGCATTATATATATATATAAAATACTTTTATTCGGCTTAAGTTAACCTCTCTTCCAGATCTCAACAGGAGATGTTAAATTCTAGTATTGAAAGATTTTGTAAGTAAATCTGTTTTCACCTTTTTCATACGCCTTTGTCGAGGTTGGTGGGAGAGTTTTATAGATTTTCTTTTATGGACTGATCATGTTTTGAGTATAGTGAATTTTATTCCTTAACTCATGGTCAACATTGTTACAGATACCACATTTTATAAATACAATGTTAAATTCACTTTGCTTTAGGCTGTAATTTATCTATAATATAATTCCATAATGCTAATTATAGAATCAAAGTAGTTTGGGATATCAGAATTAAAATAACCAAAATAACTAGTTTGTTTTTAACCGTTAAAACTATACTCTAACCCTGATGTTACATTGGACTTAAAAACAGGTTTATGTATAACACCCTTGTGTATTTAAACAAATTTTTTCAATTTTCATAATCCAGTAAGGTTTTTTTCCCCTACTGACCATTCATGAAGTTTTTCTGTTGCTTTATTCAGTCATTCAGACTTCATTTTCATTTAGGAAAGTTATTTCTGAATATCATTATCATAAAGTACCATTTTAGCAAAGCCCATTTACTTTTTAGGTACATTTACCCAGCATTTCAAATAAATGGATAGGCACATGTCTTGTTTTAAATAAGGGCAGTTTACAAGGCTCATGTTTGCAAGTTATATATTAGAGTAGCAGATGTCAACATTACCAGGGATTCTGTACTTTCCAAAAATAACTTGCCATGATATTTTCCTGTTCATTTTAAAGTGTCTTGACTTAAACATAATAGCAAAGTCTACATTCTCAGGAAGAAATACATGAAGTAAAGCATATCTCCTTGTCTGTTTTTAGATTTCTCTCCTTCACCGTCTTAGTACATTCCCAATTCCTTAAACTTAGTGGCTTAAACACTGAATACCTGGCAGCTCCTAGGGATCCCTCCAGTAGATGGTGATAATTTTCAGTGCTTTGTTATGTTTAGCAGAAATCAAACTGACTTGTGTTTTAAAATACAGGTTGTCTAATAGGGAGATTACGTGATCTTAAATGAGTTTTAGGTTTTCTGTAACAATTAGCTGTGAACTCTTAATGTAGCTAATGTTTATAAAAATTTTATAGTCAAAATTATTTATTTTTATTTTTGTAGGGTGTGTCAAAACATGTAGTATTTGCTTTTTGAAATATGTTTGCCTAGAATTGTAAAATATTCTGTGACTCAGAAATTGTAAAGTCCTTTTGGCATTGTAAAAATTAATACTACCAGCATGTCAAAAGAAAAATGGTTTGCATTTGTAATATAAAGTAAAATTGTATTTACTGTATATTATGGAATTTTAAATTTGCACTAAATAGAAGACTTTAAAGGTTATATTAATTTACAGATTCACGTGGATCTGAATTCATAATTTGTACTTGTTTGGCCAAAAAGGTCAACAGAATAGGTGATAATTTTGTGTGGTTTTTCCTTAAAGTGATAATATTGAAGCAAGAACCAGCACTTTATATTCAGAATTTTTTTTAATTCTACCTAATTTGGAACAATAGAGTATAGGTAGATTTATCTAAAAAATATCTAGGAATTTAAAAAGAAAAAACAGTGGTGTTACTCTGTCCCAATCTGAATGAAGGTATGTTCCCAGCAACAAGATGGAAGAGGTGGTTTTGGTTTTACAGTTTGTCCCTACTTTCTCAAATTTTCCCTTTAAGGCCTATCTCCTGTTTCTCAGAGTGTGATCTACGGGTGGTCTGCAGCATCAGAAGCCCCTGGGGAGCTGACTGACTCTGATGCTGAAGCCCAGCCCCTGACTTGATGAATCAGTGTTTCAGGAGATGGGACATAGGCATCTCTGGTTTTATTCACAAGGACCTCGAGTGCTCCTGATGCACACTGAAAAAAAATTTTTTTAAGATTTTATTTATTTATTCATGAGAGAGACAGAGAGAGAGATGCAGAGACACAGGCAGAGGGAGAAGCAGGCTCCATGCAGGGACCCTGACATGGGACTCGATCCTGGGTCTCCAGGATCAGGCCCCAGGCTGAAAGCGGCGCTAAACCGCTGAGCCACCAGGGCTGCCCTGAAATTTTTAAACCTACTGGCCCATACTGTACCTCATGTTGGCTTCTGTTGAATCGATACCTTGCAGACAAATCGAATTAATTGGATGTTCTTAAAATTGTCTAAGAAAAATTTTAGGAAGGGAGATTCCACTAACTGCTTTCTTCCCCCCGCCCAAATCATTCTTCTAAAGGAATTCTATGAACAGTTTGTTCATATCCTATCCAAATTAATCTATCCGACTGCTTAAAAATTGGTAGCCTCAGATCCTTCTATGGAAATCGGTTTTGGACTGTGATCCATGGAAGCTTAGAGCACAAGCAGTGCTCAGGGATCAGTGGAGTAGACCCCCTCGGAGCTCCTGCTTTCTCTCTTCATGCGGCACAGCCCCCTGCTGGATGCTGCTTAAAATAAGTTTCCGTAGATAAAATCCTTCCTCTTCTTGAAAAAAAGGATTCCACTGTATTTTTTTTTTTTAAGGGTTTAGAAGCCACTACTCTGACGACTTTTGTCACCTGGTTAATTTTCTGCTGATTTGTACATATTCAGAAACCTCATGTTTTTTGGTGAAAAATATTTTGGAGGTCTTGGTTGCTGCTTGGAATATGACAACTTGGCTATTTCAAAGTTTTAAAGACATTTTGTTGAATAGTAGAGCACTGACTTAACCTCTGTTCCTCATGTTTCTAATTTTAGTGAAGAAATGGTCTGAGAATCCAGTTAATTTTAGTTCTGACAGTGTGCACGTGCGCGCACACACACACACGCACATACTTACTCCCAAGGCCCTGACTGTAGTCTGTGTGTGAGGCTCACAGGAATATCAAAAGGGTACATTCCAAGGATCTGGAGAAAGAATCCAAAAATGTCACTGTCTCATACAGAAGTTCACAAAACTTAAATGATTGAAGTTAGTAATCTCCAGAAACGTCTGAAGAAAGTGAGTCACCTAGAAGCTGCAGATTCAAGCACATTGCTGACACCAGACACTTCCTCAGTTTCTGCTGGGGCCTGGGCTGCCTCCCCATGAAAGGGAAGCGTGCATACACAGGCACTGAGCAGGATAGACCATAGAAGTTGCCACAGTGTGGTGCTTTTTGGTGACCAGTGTGGGGAGTTGAAGAGGAGAGCTGGGAAGTTAGATTGCTGTCCTTGTTCCCCTCACACTGTCCAGACTAACAGGGCATCTGACGGATCCGTCAGATGCCCAGACCATGCCATGTATGAGAACATTCCTGCTGGAAGGGTGGCCGTGCTCGTGTCAGAGGACGGTGGCTCATCAGAACATTTGATCTTGTTCCTCTAGTTCTGGGCCTGGCAGTCTCTCTGTAGAATGGTTGGCTTGAATGAGCCCTACAGATAGGGCGCACTCTGGTTTGTAATTCTATTTTATACAAGTCTAGAGCAGCCTGGATCCTTGGCCCTGATCACTGGCAGGTAAGCTGGCGGCACTTGTTCTCGGAGCCCAGAGCGTCAGCACTTGGGATGGCCCCGCTGACACAGCCCACCGGCCCTGTGCATTCCTCCCCCACCCCGGCCCCAGGGCCACAGACCTATCACTTAACTACCCTGCTGTACTTGCCTTTGTTGCATTTGCTCTGTATTGTTGTGGTCGATGCCTACAGACAGAGAAATGGAATTAAAGCATTTGATACGTTGAAAACGTTTGCTTGTTTTTTAATAAAACTTAAAGTTCACTCCAAAAAGCGTGATCCTGCGTTTTTTGACACAACAGTGAGATAAAAGAGGCAGCTTTGAATTAGTTTCCCAGAAGATGGTCCTTGGTCTGCAGCAGGACAAACTGTGTGGGAGACTCTGGGTCAGCTGCTTGCGAACAGAAAGAAGAATGAGATTTGTACCGCTAATGGTTCTTGTAGCCTGGGGCAAAGCACTTGTACTTGAACGCACATTCATTCTTGTCATCTTTACCCAAAAGTTCCATTCTTACAAATTTTTTGAAGTAACTTAAAATTCCCTATTCACTTACCTGCTTTTTTTAAACAGACAATGCCAAGGACAGTGTACCTTTTCCTGATCGGTCAGTTTAAACATGAATTACCCCGCTTGGCTGTGACCCCCATGGAAGTTCACAAGGAAGAGTCTATTAACTGAAGAACCCTGGACAAGTACTTTTTTTTTTTTTTATGCAGTTTTATTTAACACATTATTGGGCATTTAGGTCCTATGTTAGATGTTTTTACTTTCAACTCATAGTCTGCAGTGCTGCAAGTAGACATTTTCAAGTCCATTTTACAGATTGCTCACCCAGAGCTGGATGCTAATGCCAGGTCCTCACGCCTGCTGCTTTTTTTACCCTCGACACACCCATCAACCCTGTACAGTATGGAAAGCAGTGTAAGGTGTGGGCAGACACGTCATTATGCTGGGCACTGAGAATGCTAGGGTTTATGATAAGCCCTCAAAGGGACTCCCCCCCCCACACACACACACACAAGGAAACTCATCGCATACATAAAAAGACGAATTACTTGTTCAGAGATTTTGATGAACTGAAAGCATTGCACATTGGCCACAAGAATGTAATTTTTTCAGTAGGGTTTTGGAACTAGGAACTAGGAACTGAATTAATTAGTCTGTGAGAAAGCTGTGTACACTCTGAGCTCTTGAGGGCAGGGAGCTTATCTTGTTCATCCCTGCATTCAAATTAACGAGCATTTGCACATCTTTTATGAAAGTTCCGTCTGTGTTACAGAACACTTAACTCTGCAGGACAGTACTTTCAGCATCCAATTTCCAGCATACAGAGCACACTCCATAGTCTTCAAACAAATGAACTTGCTAGGCACAGTCCTAGGGCAGTCCAGGCAAACAGCATACCTGTGTGTATCTCATGCCCCATTCCCTGGGAAGTGGCCCCAGTCCAAGACTGCCAAAGGGCCATATGATCATTCCTCCCTTGTGGCTGATTGGACCCAGGAGCCCGTCAATTGACCAGTAACCAGATTCTCTGCCGGGCTTTGTTTTCACATAACCCCTGTAAATCCATACTCAAAGCATGGCCCATAAATTGATTGCAATCTATCAGGCAGTAAATGCAGAAATTGAGTTAAGAATTTAGACATTGGGGATCCCTGGGTGGTGCAGCGGTTTAGCGCCTGCCTTTGGTCCAGGGCGCAATCCTGGAGACCCGGGATCGAGTCCCACATCGGGCTCCCGGTGCATGAAGCCTGCTTCTCCCTCTGCCTATGTCTCTGCCTCTCTCTCTCTGTGTGTGTGTGACTATCATAAATAATTTTTTTAAAAAATTAAAAAAAAGAATTTAGACATTTTTATACCTTATTTTGGCAGTTGATTATTGAATCTAAAGATAATCAAATGTGGCTTATAGTTTGTCTTTTTCATGTCATTTTTCTCTATTTTATAAAAATACCAATATCTAATGCGTTGACCAGGCTCCTGGTCCACCTGGTCCACCACAGTTAGCTTTGAGAAGCCCTGCTTTAAATAAATCCTTACATCCCTCAGTAGAGGAGGGGGCCCAGTTGCAATGAGTCTCCTCACAAAGAAGCTCTGCCTGAAATGTTGCAGGAGACTTGCTGCAATTTGGTGATAGGAGCAGTGACCTTTAGTATCCTACCAAAGTTTGTGGCCATGATCCAGGTAATGACAAAGGACTTTGAACCAAGGAAACAGATCACAGGAAGGAGGGGGAGAGAGGACAAATAAGAATTTGTCAATTCTATTTCAAATTAAAAAGACTGGTAAGAACTTGTTATTTCAAGATAGGTAATAAATTGTGTAAACTGGAACATACACACAGAACCATATGGCTTGGAATTAAGTGGTATAATAATTTATGCTTGTAGAGTGATCATTTATGAAGCAATTTCATATATTTTATTTATTCCTCACAAAAGCCCAACTGAAGTAGGCAGAGGAGATGTAATTTGTTTTCCAAACAAGTACACTGTGATTCGGAAAGGCTAGTGACATGCCAGTGTCTCACAGAGCTGGGATTCCGGTCAGTCTTGTGACTCCAAAATCTAATGGGGTTTGTTGTTGCTCTGTCTCTAAGTCCTGCCATGTTTTGTCTAGGTCAGGGGTTCTCAGCCTTTACTAGGTCACAAGCAGACCTTGTAAGAGGCCAGTTATAGTTACAGACACACACACCCACACACACAGTGTTACAGTCTTGCTATACATGCACAGCAGAATTTTACAACCAGCTCCAGGGACCTCCTAGACTCCACTTAACGAACTTCTGAGCCACGATCACCAGTCTCAGCAGAGATGTCTCAGACATT